GATGAATTAATATATTCACCTGTTGGAAATTCATGTTTTTATTCCTATTTTCTATCATTTCTATTACTTCTCTCACTCTCGAACCCGTGTTGCTTTAGCCCTCCTCGTGGTGAGCGAAAATTCACGACGCTCTAAACCACTGGACCATACAATCCTACAAACATGAGCCTTGCTCTGTGGTAACCACACCATTGTATGTCCTCGCAACATGAAGCAAGCCTAGTTCGCTAGGCTCATGTTGTTTGTAGGATTGTATGGTCCAGTGGTTAGAGCGCCGTGAATGTTCACTCTCGTCCCACAAGGCGAGCTAAAACTACAATGGTTCGATCCCCCGGCTAGCCGCAGTTTGTTATTGATTAAATGCCATTTGTTCGTGGTTACAATAATATATACTAATAATTACAAAATTTGACTAACATTTGATTTTTGAAATCAGGCAAGTCACAAAATAGCAGAAAATGTCTTAATCCTTTCGCCACAAGGCTTACTTACGTAATTTTAGAAATTCAGATCTACATTAGCTGTTTATTTTGTATTTTAGTTTTGTTAGATTTCTTCCAGGTAAAAAAGCATTTAAACCAAATTTGCTGGTGTTTTTTCCTTCTGTGAATGTATATTTCAAGACTTAACAACCTGTGTAATCTAGTATGTTGTACTTATGGAATTTTTTCTGCGTGTTATGCTAGATTTCCTTGAGGCAAACAGTTACTGAATTTTCCTTACTCAAGTTTGGTTATAGAAGTAAAGTGTGCTTAGTTTTTTTTTTTTTTTTGATGACTTGCAGAGTAGTTTTGAGACTCATGGCGGCTACAAGACTGTATCCGTTTCTAATGACAGTTTTCTTGAATTAGATACATAATCTAACGAGTTGGAATAAGAAATCTTTTACGCTTCAGACTAATTCTAGACACTGACTCTGGTAAAGAAAAGAGTAAACTTTCTTAGCATTATTTATCCTCGAGTTAATTGCCCAAGAAAGCCAAATAATGCAGTGTATTTTCTTTATAAGTCCTTAGATGTTTTCCCTAGGACGACAGCCACAACTGCCCACTAACTTCTAGGTATCTACTTACTGCTAAGTGAATAGGGGAAGCAAGTGTAAGGAGACGTGGATATATACATCACTCCTCGCTCAGGATTCTAACCCAAGGTCTTATCCGTTGTGAGCCTAACACTCCACTAACCTCTTTGAAGCTCCAAAGATCTCAGGCTTTTCCTGTTCGGGTATCCTTTTCCAGAAATCCCTATAGTAATTGTCTTGAGTTGTAAGCTATTTGAAATAGTTTAGTCAGTATGTGAATAATGTTAAAGTTCAAGGAGGTAAAATTTAAACAGTCTCTCCTCTAATTTTATTTTATTGTGACGGCTTGCTTTAAGCGCTACGAGCCTAATACTTTTCATATTTCTTTTAATGGCTGCAGTAATCACAGTAACAAGTGGTTAGACTTTTCCTGTGAAAATGATTGCATTACCTTGTGGGAACACGTTTTCTTGTTGGCTATGGGGATATTCGGAAATTTTCTGTCATGCATCTGGTGTCAGGTGCTTTGTGTCCCGTTCAATTGGCTGCCGTGAAACAAGTTGAGCCGACATGTAATAAATCACTCTCATTAAGGCTGTTAACTGAATTTAATCCGAAAACTTACGAAAATTCTTGCATGCATGCATGCATAAATGCATACACACACGCGCACACACACACACATGCGCGCACGCACGCACACACACAACAATATGCGCGCACGCACGCACACACACACCACAATAAATATATATATAATATACTATATATAATATAAATATAAAATATATATATATATATATATATATATATAAAGTAAAACGCGATTTTGGCTTAAATAGCAACGCACTTCATGCCGAAAATTTGTGAATGCAATAATTTCGCAAAAATCATTCTGAAAATAACGAAAAAAATATATTTCATTGTGCTTGTTTATTATTAAATTATTGTGAACTTATATAAAATATATTTAGTTGGATTAGGCGAAATTAAATTGCGCTTGTTGTTCTTTTGGTAAAATCATTAATTTTTATATTAATATAAATGAAAAATATATCTTTAAATATATAATAGAAAATTTTAGAGTGCCCTTAATTTTAAATGAGTTTTTGCTATTTGACCAGCTTTATCTATTCGGCACACATATATATATATATATATATATATATATATATATATATATATATTATATATATATATATATATATATATATATATATATATATATATATATATATATATATATATTGAGGAATTGTTAATGTTGATGAAGATAGGGAAGCTGTGATTTCGTGTATAGGACAAGGGAGAAAACATCTTGTAGGAGTGAGGAAGAGCCAGTTGTGAGTGGGGGGGAAGTTCGTGAGGCAGTAGGTAAATGAAAGGGGGTAAGCAGCCGGGATTGATGGATGAAGATAGAAATGTTAAAAGCAGGTGGGGATATAGTTTTGGAGTGGTTGGTGCAATTATTTAATAAAT